TCAATTGTTGCCCCCAGATTGTACCAAAATACCAAATCAAACATTCACTTTACCTACTCTACATCTGGCGTGTCTATTCATGTGTAAAATAATTGTCTGGGACTCACTGTTTAGTGGTAAAACACAAACAAGCTGTTAGGAACAATTTCTTCGTAAAATTTGTTTTTCACTTTTATCTTATCTATTTTTCTGTCACCTATGAGCTCCAAAGTGTCCAATTTATCATCTAGAGTATCTCGTCAAGTGTGAAATGATAGACTGAGACTAAATTGGCAACTTTTTAGAAAATATGATTTTGGCCAAACGCGAAAGGCATAAATTCTGGAAAAATGTCACTTGTGGTCATTTTTATGTTATCTCAATTGTTGCCCCCAGATTGTACCAAAATACCAAATCAGACATTCAGTTTACCTACTCTACATCTAGCGTTTCTATTCATGTGTAAAATAATTGTCTGGGACTCACTGTTTAGTGGTAAAACACAACCAAGTTGTTAGGAACATTTCTTCGTAAAATTTGTTTTTCACTTTTATCTTATCTATTTTTCTGTCACCTATGAGCTCCAAAGTGTCCAATTTATCATCTAGAGTATCTCGTCAAGTGTGAAATGATAGACTGAGACTAAATTGGCAGCTTTTTTGCAAATATTGTTTTGGCCAAACTCGTAAGGCATAAATTCTGCAAAATTGTCACTTGTGGTCATTTTTATGTTATCTCAATTGTTTCTCCCAGAATGTACTAAAATGCCAAATCAGATATCCAGTTTAACTACTCTGCATCTAGCGTGTCTATTCATGTGTAAAATAATTGTCTGGGACTCACTGTTTAGTGGTAAAACACAACCAAGTTGTTAGGAACATTTCTTCGTAAAATTTGTGATGACACAAAGCGCCACTATGTGGATGAGGATCACCCGTGGAGAGGTCCCTGAAACCGCGTTCAGCCTTTAGACCATATTGATGGCCGGGTTAGATTGTGGCCCCTGGCAAGTGCCAGAGCAGGGCTTCAAATAACGAAAAATTGCATCCCTCAAAGGAAAGGTGATGAAGATTGTCAACAACCTTTCATCTTCCTTGTGTATACAGTTTTTACCTCTCCTGTCATCTGACATTCTCTTAAATTGCCCCAGCCATTTCAACCTAATTCAGAATCAAAATATTTTGAAATGTTTTTAAAAATTTAATTGAATCAATTTTAAAACTGTAAAGGGAGTTAATATAAAGAAACGATATGCATAACTTAAGATGTTAACTTACAAACCATATATATAAACCCATATTCCTATTGTAGAGGTAATTATTTCCCTTTATTTATGACATAAGTTCTTTCCCTTTCCTTGTTCAGCTGTTGCATATTTTCATTCAGTAATGTTGCAATTTTTCTTTGTCTTTTTGAAATGTTACGGCTTTCGTGAAACAATTATTCACACCTTTCGCCTTCCACCAGATGTAGTTGATGTTTATGTGATTTACTCACGTTCGGAATTAATTTTTGTTTCTTTTTTTTTAAGCTAGTTTGAATGACAATACTGCTATCTCCACGAGCGAGTTGTACCAACATGAGCAAACGACCTGACTGACTGACTTTCTACCCCACTAGGACATCACACAAGCGATAAACACCCGATGACACAAAGTGCCACCATGCGGATGAGGATCGCCTTGGAGAGGTCCCAGAAACCGCGTTCAGACATTTGGCCATATTTATGGCCTACCTATATTGCGGCCCCTGGCAAAAGCCAGAGTGGGGCTTCAAAAACAAAAAATTACATCCTAAGAAGGACGTAAGGAATATAGCAAACGACCTTTTCTCTAAATAACCTTATCTGGCCACAAGTGTTGCAATAATAATGGCTTACTCATATTATAACGTGTGTTGTTTAACCCCAGCGATTAATATTGGTGACACAAAGTGCCACCACTTAAATGAGAATCCCCCCAGGCGCAAGTCCCTGCAACCTTGTTCAACTCCTAGGTTATATTAGGGCACCTACCACAGGCGACTTAACCATTTCGACTGGGGTGTTCAATTCGAAGTCAACGCCCACTGAAGCTGGACTGCAGATTAATTGCTAGCTGTTTTGTGGTGCTCCATTATAACTGTCCTATATGGCTGTACGGTGAAACGGGTGTGTTAAGGGATTTGTACCTGTTTGCTTCTCATCTTTGAGGTGTTATTCCTACAGAAGAAAGACAGAAAGAGAGAGAGAGAGAGAGAGAGAGAGAGAGAGAGAGAGAGAGAGAGAGAGAGAGAGAGAGAAGGAGAAAACGAGAGTGAAGAGCAAGAGAGATACACAGAAAAAAAGAGAAAAGAGGGAGACACAGAGAAGGAGAGACACCGAAAGATAGATAGATAGATAGATAGATAGAGAGAGAGAGAGAGAGAGAGAGAGAGAGAGAGAGAGAGAGAGAGAGAGAAAGGGACATAAAGAGAGAGAAGGAGAGAGACATAAATAGAGAAAGAGAGAGAAAGAGAGAGACAGAGGCAGAAAAAAAGAGGGAAAGAGACAAAAAGCGAGAAACAGAGAGACAGACAAAAAAGAGACAGACAGACAGACACATAAAATAGATAGAGAGAGACAGAGCGATAGAGAGAGAGAGACAGAGATAGAGATAGAGAGAGAGAGAGAGAGAGAGAGAGAGAGAGAGAGAGAGAGAGAGAGAGAGAGAGAGAGAGAGCAATAACTGCATGGTATTAAAGAAGTTAAAAAAGATTCGAAGCCAGTCTCTCGAACGAAAACAAAGTGTTTTAGCTACACTGAAAACTGCTTCTGTATTTTTTTTTTCTTTTTTTTCTAAATCTTTCCTCCTGATGCTGGCTACGGATTAATGAGCTAACACAGGTGTGGAGACACACGGGGTCACCGATTCAACTCATGAAAGACAGCACAGATGATAATTTACTGACTTGCGCCATGTTTTTTTTTTCTCCCACAAGATGTCTCCACGTGTATCCTTGAGCCAGATATTAAAGTCTGGCAACTTTGGCCCAAGGTGGCCAAAAACTGAATAAAATACAACTTGTATATTCTAATTTCAGCTGCAATTTCTTGCAGGCGTAAGGTCATAAACCTGGTAGAACAAGGCAGACCTTCGGAGGTCACGTTTTGCGTCACAAACAAAGATCACGCCTGCAATCAAACCAGAATTTTTTGTGCTGTGTAAAGCCCTTTTTTGAGTGTCTGGTGTTTAACTGTGTCAATATTTTTTTACCCCCTAAAAATGTGCACTTTTGGTTTTTTTCTATACCAATTTGACAAGTAAAAGTAAAATAAAACAAAGGATTCTTTTTCGCATCCGTGACGTAAAAGGCTTATAGTGATAGACCCGTACTTTTAAAGGCCTATCACCTCTTAATGACCGATGTGATCAACACCCTTTCAGCTGCCTTAACTTTCCATGAAACTTCCTGGCATCCATTTCTGTCTGGATTTACCTTTGTGTCAATGGCAGTCATAAAAAATATCCAGCTCGATGCGGATTTGAACCCACGAACTTCGAGTCTGATGCTTTGATTTGATGTTGAGGTTCCATGTGCACATAAAAGGACTTGAGTCTATAGTAAATTAAAGGTTAGTGTCTGACTCTCAAACGTTAAGGCGGAAGATTCAACATGGTCAAATGTGGGATGAATGGATAGCAAGCATCAGCTCGCCCACATAACAGTAATTCAGCTGGATTTACTGTCCAGGAGGACGACCATCCAGCAGCAATGGCAAACTACTGGACGTAAATTTGCCTAGAGAAACCACACAGGCTGCTGGGGTTGGTTCTGCAACGTCCTGTTAAGGATACGCAACTAACCTAGTATACTGCATGGGATTTGCAGGAGTGCGAGGGAACGAAAGAGCGGAGTTTATGGCGACAAAGGCGATCTCTACAGGATCACTCGTACTGAACAAGAGAGACATTCTGAAGACCATATACGAACGAATGTTGATAGAAGACAGGAGGTTAGATAAAAGAACATGTGTAAGAATGTGTGAACGAGGAATTATGAGTTAATCAAGTAACAGAAAGTGTATTGATAGGCACTCATAGAAAGAAGTAGAAAGGTAGAAAAACACACTAGACAACATAAAAATCGAAAGCTATAGTTACCGTGCCGGGAATTGAACCTGTCACCTCCAGACGGCGTGTGCGCCTCGCCATGGATACAAGTGCACTAAGGACTTGGTCAACTAGCCACTTAGGAGTGTATCGGCAAAGACGGACGGATGAGAGGAAGAGATCGGCGTGTTTATAATCAGTGTGCTATGGAAACAGTTAGCATCTACACCTTAAGATATCTGCTGCGAGAGATGAAGCACCTGTGGGTATGCTCGGTGTGCTATGAGGGCGATTCTTACATAAATGAAATAAGGTCTATAGTGGAGAGAGCAACCTGTTTCATTCCATTTTCTTCCGCCTCTCATAAAAAAAAAAAAAATAAGATCGTTTGCTAAGACAGCATCGCACAAGTCACGGACTGCATAGTACTAGTGCGCAGACACTTATACAGATTAATCGAACTACACAGACCGTAGAACGAACCCACGTCCTTCAAAGCGCACGACAAACGTTCTGTCCGTATTCCACAGTTGTGGCTTTCAAGCTCTACGACAGACGTGGCCAATAAGGACACCGTGTTTTGGTTTTAATGGATAGAAAGAACTAAACAAGTTCCAGTGGACCAAGAGGTGAAGAAAAGACGCTGGCGTTGGGAGGATACATGTTGAGAAAACCTGAGAACAAAATATCTAGAATGTCTTTACACTAGAACCAAAAAGGACATAGAAATAAAGGAAAGCAACAACACACACACAAACGGAGAAGTTAAAAAGATAGGGATGACATGGGTAGGGCTTCATATATATATATATATATATATATATATATATATATATATATATATATATATATATATATATATATATATATATATATATATATATATATATACTTATCGGCATGACACATAATGATGCTGATGACGATGATGATGATAAAATGGCTGCTCACCTTCATCCTGCCTCTCCTCCTCAGACAACTTGTCATCATCAACGTCGCAATCGTCATCGCTTCTGGAAGCCTCTGATTCCTTATCTTTATGGTGTCCGTTTATCTGCAAGTCGAGTGGTTTACCTGCGAAATAAATATAAATTTTTATCTTTATGCTGCCCACTCTCCCGCAGATCTAGTAGTTTACCCCGAGGATAAATCATAAACCTTATCTTTACGATGTCCGTTATTATGTAAGTCGAGGGGCTTCCCTGTGGAACATCCATAAATACTTACGTTTATGCTGTCCATCCCGCCTGTAGATCTAGTAGTTTACCCGCAGACCAAACATAACCCTTATCTTTATTATGTCCGGTCAAGTGAAAATCGAGTGGCTTACCCATGAAACAATCATAAATACTTATCTTTATGCTGTCTGTTTACCTGCCGGTTAAGTAGTTCACCTGTAGAGAAATTCTAAATACTGCAGTGTGCTGCGTTGAACACGGCGAAACTTTAGAAGTTTCTTTATTAATCAAAAGCTTTGTCCTTGTATTTGGGCACCTTTCACATATGTCAAGCAGTTCAATGCTTATTCAAAGGATGCCATTAAGTACAAGAACAAGAACAAGAACAACAAGTAACACCCCAAAATGTGAGGATACCCCGTAGATCACATTCAGAAATGGATGTCTATAATTCTGACAGAATCTGAGTTCTGTACCTTACGCGAAAGTAAAATCTCTTTGCGTTTGCTTGCTCTTGCGTTTCAAACCAGTCGATGTTCTTTGATAACATTGTTTCTTCTTCTGTGTGGCTGGTTGTATGTTTTTGGTTAAGGTTTGAGGTTTGTACAACGGATCCACATCATGGCACACAGGTAGTAACCCATAAGTGTTCCGTCCTTCTTTTACTCAAGTCTGTAAAAGCTCGTACTGGCGAGGATCCTGAAATACTTTAGGTAGATATTCAACCACAAATTTTGCCCGGGCAGCGACGTTAGGCTACTCTTTTCAATTTCAACTACCAAGGGATTTTTACGTGCGCAACAATACACACGGGCGTCCGATCTTACTACCCACAGACCAGGGGGATTCACTAAAGTCCGCGTTACAAAAATCCCAATAGGGACCACGCATCCCCCTAGGTTTTTGGTTAAGAAATGCGCATACATTTTTTTTTTCTTTGGACGATGACGAATAACATTTAAACGTGTGGCGGTTAATCGAATTGTTGCTGTATATAGAAATAAACTTACTGGAATCCCCTTCTGGCAAACGTTGAGGTAATCTTGGTTCTAGCCCTGGTGGTGTTCCGTACATTCCTAACATCGGCAATCGCTCATCTCTTGGCCTGTATCGACAGAAAAACATATTTAACGAAATATATATAAAAAAACAAAAGTGTAATTACATCATAAGCCGCAAAAAGGCATCTCTTTTACCGGCTGTAAATACCGGAGGAAAGTTCTGGTTGCTCGTCCACTTCTGGACTTAAGTCTTCCACAATAGAACTTGAGTTTTACATGCACGTCCGTTTTACGGTTTCGGCTTATTTGTATGCAAAGTGATTCAGATGTACTAATGCTTTAAAGGTAGCACAACTGGTGGGTATCTGTGGCTTAGGCGTTGCCAACGCAATTCGTAACGCCGAGGACCTGGGTTCCATCCCAGCTGCTGCACTTTGGCCGAAGATGGTCTTTCGTTCGGTTTCCACAGTGGTACCCAAGAGTGGACTGTTCAGAAAGAAATGCTAAACTACTGAATGTAAAATTTGCCTAGAAAAACGACAACAGCCAGAAAATCCTGTGGTTGGTCCTACGACATTCTGTAAAGGATAGACAACAAACTTTTTAACCCTTCGAATTAAAATAAAGATTAAAATGTGAATTATGTGTCTAGAACCATATGTCGGATGGTCCTATTTGGACTGTTGTATGTCGAGTGTCGACCGTTGCATGTAGAGTACTGAGTGTAGAGAGTTAAATGTCGAGTGTTGAGTGTCATTAAAGTGTTGAATATCGAGTGTAGAATGTCAAGTGTAGAATGTTGAATATCGAGTAGAATGTCGAATGTCGTGTCTCGAGTGTTGACTGTTATGTAATGTCGAGTGTTAACTGTTGAGCAAAGAACTGACATTGTATCGTTTGGGATATACCGACAAAATCTCTGTCCTCATCTTCAGCAACCAACGAAGAATTGCAATTCCCATGGTGCAAGTAGCAGTTTGATCATTAACCCGTCTCGCCTCTTCTTTGAGTGCAGAGCGTTAACCAGATCCCCTGGTCACTACTAGCTGTACCATTCTCTGCAGACATTCATGATCTATCCGTACATCCGCATTGTTCACTTGCTCCAACAAGGCCTTGACCATATTCAGCTTGTCAAGCATAATTTCATTACCCACTGGTGCGGAGCCAGCCAATCTGTTTGCCTGTTCATTTCCCAACACACCTTCATATCTTCCGGAAAAACTATCCAAAGAACAGTAACTACCCCGGTACCCCTCAAGCCTTATTCGGAATACCCAAACAACTTCCTCTTATCGAAAAAAACTGAACAACACCTAGTGGAATGGAACTGGACTCCCCACATCATAAATCCCTGACCTAGTTTACAAATAACATTAAGTTTTTTACACCCGCTGCGGTTATTTAGACCAAGCCACTTCTGTGTTGTTAATTAGCCGTTTGATGTTGAAGTCATTAAAGGATTCTCCGCACGGCGTGACCCGGGTGGTGTTGCTCAGAATACAGGAGCAAGAATACAGTCATATATTTCCTTAATGTTCACAGGGGCAATAAAACATATGGTTTCTTATTTCTGGCATTTACTCGCTGATTGCCTTTTTATTTCACTGCAATATTTATGTTGTCGTCTTCCGTCAAACATGCTGGTTGTTTTGTTACTAGAGAGATATATGTGTGAACAGGATCTGGGTGCTTTGAGGACATATATGTGTGTGTGTTATGTGTCTGTGTGTGTTATGTGTGTGTGTGTGTGTGTTATGTGTCTGTGTGTTGTGTCTTTGTGTGTTATGTGTATGTGTGTTTTATATGTCTGTGTGTGCTATGTGTATGTGTGTTATATGTCTGTTTGTGTTACGTGTCTGGATGTGTTAGAGGGACTGAGAGAGTGTGTATATGTATCTATACATTGATACTCATGTAACAATATTCGTATGATTCATGATATATTGAAAAGTAATAAGTAATGGCATGCACCCACTCACACACACATACACCGGTATATATACATACTCACGTAAATACATATAGTCAAACAAACAGACAGACAGACACACCTTCCAGCCTACATATTTACACTACATTAATAGACAGAAACACTCACTAACACACATATACTTAAATGGCAGAGAGGCAGATTATTGTCTCTGTCTACCTGCTGCTAAAGATGAGGACGGAGCGCTTATGTGAGTGTCCCGAGTGCTATGATGTCGATTCTTGATTCAACGTTCAACATTTTTAGCCGCCTACCTACAAACAGATGTACATATTTCTCACGTAGATAAATGAAGCCCTCGGTGAGAAAGTTAACTTGCCGCCTCAACCTGCAAAGTCTGTGACCTGATACATGTGAAGTACTTAGCACTTTGCAAGCGTGTCGCAGGATGAACTTAAGGATGGCGAGGGAGGGGGGGGGAGGTTAGAGTCTGCCCAGAGCCTTGTTCCAGTATTTGACCTAAGAATCAACGACACTGTGCTCCTCTTAACTAAGCCGGCCGCCCTGTGTGGGTTCCGTGAACTCAACGTTGGTGGTAAACTAGAAGAGGGACCCACTACCTCATATAATGTCGGGGGCGAAAAAAAATTGCACACCTGAACAGCCGTGGCACGGCGAAGCACATTATTGTGCGGTCTCAAATCCTCACCAGCACTAACACGCGCAAAACTACCTCATAACAAGCATGTCGTAAAAGGCGACTGATTATGGGTTTGCTGTAATCGGATGTGTTGGATCATAAGGTGATATTGAAGCTTTGCTACGCACCTGACAAGATACAGCGAAAAATGCCTAGCAAAAAATTGTGTTATGTGTTGTTTGTGTCCGCATTATTTAAGTTCATTGAGATGTTAGTCCAACAAAGTGCAATCCAGAGGGGGAACAAAATAAGTACAAAAAGTTAAGGAGAAAAAGAAGAAGAGGGCGAGGAGGAGGAGGAAGAAGAAGAAAAAGAAAAAGAAAAAGAAGAAGAAAAAGAAAAAGAAAAAGAAAAAGAAAAAGAAAAAGAAGAAGGAGAAGGGGGAGGAGGAGCAGCAGCAGCAGCAGAAGCAGCAGCAGCAGCAGCAGCAGCAGCAGCAGCAGCAGAAGAAGAAGAAGAAGAAGAAGAAGAAGAAGAAGAAGAAGAAGAAGAAGAAGAAGAAGAAGAAGAAGAAGAAGAAGAAGAAGAAGAAGAAGAAGAAGAAGAAGAAGAAGAAGAAGAAGAAGAAGAAGAAGAAGAAGAAGAAGAAGAAGAAGAAGAAGAAGAAGAAGAAGAAGAAGAAGAAGAAGAAGAAGAAGAAGAAGAAGAAGAAAGAAGAAGAAGAAGAAGAAGAAGAAGAAGAAGAAGAAGAAGAAGAAGAAGAAGAAGAAGAAAAAGAAGAAGAAGAAGAAGAAGAAGAAGAAGAAGAAGAAGAAGAAGAAGAAGAAGAAGAAGAAGAAGAAGAAGAAGAAGAAGAAGAAGATTAAAGATAGAAATAAAGAAGGAAGGAAAGAAAGAATTTTAGTAGTAGTAGCAGCAGCAATCGTCATGGTAGTAGTAGCAACAGCAGAAGCAGATGCAGCAACAGTAGTAGTAGTAAATCAACAACCACTTCTAATAGGAAAATAAAATCGTCTTGTGACACTACCGCTGACACTTCGCCACCATAATCCGGACAACCACCCGAGAGAGGCAACCCGTTTACTAGAGTAGAAGACGAAAGACTTTAAAATACAAGAAAATGACAGGCATATAGACCTACATCTTTTGCACCTGACCTGTAATCAGAATCCATTACAGATGTTTCTTCGTTCTCAAGTACCCAATCATTGGATCGAAACTTTTGGTATCTGATACATCATTGGCTCTTAAACAAAAACGGTACCACCCATAAATTCCTCACGCGAACATCTGACAAGAAAGCTATGTCATAATTTTTATTGGTACAGTTTTAGAAGTTGTCCATGGCTTTTCCTTTTATCTCCTGTGTTATTTATTATATTTTGCAAAGCAAAGCAGGTTAGAAGTACCGCTCTTGGCCGTAACAGCCCACTTAGAGCCTTTAAGAGTAATAGCTCATAGATTTCTATTGGTTTAATTTGCAATGATAACATTTGCACCGGGGCACCTCGGAGAGTTTGCAGGCTGCCGTTCTGATTGGTTAACTTTTTATTTGGTGCTCAGAAACAAGAAGAAAAAAATGGCGAAGATTAAACTGTGAAAGCGTGTAGGTTAGTGAGTACAAAAACATTAGGAACTGCTTTCTTGAATGACCAGACAAGATTCGCTGTTGAAGAGCGGTGTTAGCACTTAAGTGGTTGCCGACTAGAGAAGCTCGCAGCAGAAATAACAGAAATTGAAGGCGGGAAGAGAATTATTTACCATTTGTCAGTGTTTCTCAATCCGTTTTCCCCGAGGGTGCCTGACTTTGTAACATATTAGTGTATTTAGTCTAGGGCCGGGTTTAAACCTGATGAAGCCCACGCTATATAAAGCCCCGAGGCCCTATCGTTTCGAAATCCACCAGCTAATCTAAAAAAAACTGTGAAATATATCATAATCAAGTGATCTGCCAACTGGCATGGGCGATCATGCCTCTCTTCAATCTGCGATCCGTAGCTGCCTGTATCAGTTCGTCTGTTGACACCCCTCCATGCCGAGTCAAGAATCTTCTCACGCTGTCTTCCCTGTCTTTCTTGCCACAGATCTTTCCAGTGGTTACAACATGTTCAATTTTCTTAAAATATATCATCATCATCATGTGCCCTGCCATTTGGCGTAGGTGCTCATGCGTCTCCACAGATCACGATCTCTGGTTGACTAGAACAACTCTCTTAATGATATCTATCCATGCCATCGTTTCAGCCCATTCAGCATCATTTCTGTTGGTCTGCCTCTAGCCCTTCTACCACTGATCTTTCCAGTTGTCACGATGTTCTCCAGCGTCTCTCTTCTCATTATGTGGCCAAAGAACAGTGATTGTCTCTTTCCTATTGTTGTATATAGAGATCTGCTTTCATTAGCCTCTCTCAAGCAATCGTTGTTAGTTACTCTGGCCGTCCAAGGTATTAGTTACATTTGCTTCAGAAACCACATCTCTGTTGCTTCAAAATTCTTCTTAATTTGTTCAGTGACATTTCAAGATTCGTTGC